AAACGCCATTCTTAACGCTCTTGCAGGATTTGGCTTACCAGCTATGATTTGCTCCCATTTTAGGCTCTTTTGCCTTGGAAGCAAATGTTTCCAAGAAACACAAGGATCTTCTAGGTGAGTTTGTAAACCCCAGATTCCTGTGCTCTCTGGACAGGAGATTGTGATTTCGTGGGTTTAGGCTAGGGTGTAGGAATGCACATTTTAACAAACATTCTAAGTAGCTGGGTCTGTAGTCTACCTTTTGAGAAATGCTGTTACAGGTGGAAGGGCTCTTAGGCTCATTTAGTGACCAACCCCTGCATTTTACAGATTAGGGAACTGAGGTCCAGGGAAGGAAAGTGATTTGTCCCGAGAGTTACTGAGTTAAGGCCACAAAGTATCTCTAGGAAGATCCCACTGCCCAAGGCAGGACAAGGAGATGGATCATTGTTGATTTAGGGAGGGAAACTGGATCATTGTTGATTTAGGGAGGGAACAAGCACCCCCTGAAGGTGGTCATACCGCTGCATTTTCAACAAAATTTCCATTATGATTTAAGCCAGTTTGAGTCAGATTCTCTGTTGCTGGTCTGTGAAAACACCCTAACTGATACAGACCCCTCTCGTTATCAGCCTTCTTTAATCCAACTCTTTTGAGAGAACTGTCTTTGAAGAAATACTCCCAAGGCATCATCCAAGTGTTTAATCCTTTAAATGTCAAGGCCTTTGTAATGCACGGGGTAGGTCACACACACCTCCCTGCACCTGAAGGCAGAGTATATAGAGTTGAAAGTGGGCCAGGCCCGGAATTGGGAAATTTGGCTTCTATTCTTGCTTCTATCATCATATAGCTGTTTGAAATGGGCAGATTACTTAATTTCTCTGTGCCTAGCTTTCTCATTTGGAAAATGTGGGGAGAGGGGTTAAGAAAAATCTGTTTTCAGGCCCCTTTGTCCTAGGTATTATCATTGCGTTTTAATTGTTGACACTATTTTTCTTGATTTTCATAACTTATTCTTTGCCTGTTTCCCTCGCTCTCTTTCTTTCCAGAAAATAAACACAAAAATAAATGACAGCATTGACTTTGGGCCAGTCTATTCTTTGCTGGAAGAAATTATACCCCCAAGAGCTCATAGACGTTTGCATTTGAATCAACATCCCTCAAAGATTTCTTTAGGGAATGTGAACATTTCCTTCCTGAATGGAGCTAATTGACACAACATAACTTTGTGTCAGGTGGAAACACATTTTCTTTTCATTTGGTAAAAAATAATCAGGCTAGTCTGTTGAACAGCAACAACAATAAAAGGCAGTGGTCCCTTGATTTTGTGGTGCTGGTGGAGTGAATTACCTGTGCCCAGCACTCCAGGGAGAGCAGCCACCACATCTTGGCAGGTTTTCCTTTTCACTGAGGGAGGGAGGACATTACCTAATTTTGTCTTCAACATGTTGTGACAGGAGTGAAGGAGGCCTGGGTAGTTACAACCCATATTCATGTGAAAGCACTTGTTTGGGTTTCAATAATGTTTGTTCTTTTTTCTTTTAACCCCTAATGCCTTACACATTCAAAGCATCAGCTTCTAGCTTCACTATAAGAAAATAGAGTAAAGCAAAAAAAAAAGAAAAACAGGCAAAAAAAACCCACACAAAGCAGCAACACAAATCACCCTGTAAGTTCGCAACCCAGAGATGACCACATGTAGTTGTTTTAACTGCTTTGTTTCAACCACTTCTTTTCTAATCACCAAAGCAATATAGGTTCAATGCTTAAGCAAACACTGAAGAGGAAAATTAATCATGGCTAATCCTACAGCCATTGATAGTCACATGAAGTCTTTGAATAAATACCCCACCCACCATGGCCTCCCAGCTTGCTGCCTTTCCTCACGTTTTCGACGTTCTCATGCTCCAGAATTTCACGTTTCGTGAACTGAAGCCATTGGACCCGGCAGAGAGGCACCAGCCTATTTGCTTTAGTATTTTGGAAAGATGCCTCCCTGATGGCTGAACCCCAGGGAGGGTCTGTGCACAGGAAAACCAGCTCCACAGAAACATGCAGCCACCATGACTCCCCCTGCCCCTCCCCTCATCAAAGTTTAAACAGCGTGTCTGGAACTCTCCCAAAAAAGGTTTTCAAATTGGTGTGGATGCCAGCTGTACTCACAGGCAGCAATATGACCTAAAACTTTGTTTGATTTGCAGAGTTAGTTTCTGATGCCATAATGTCATCTATCACCTTTCTCCCCAAAACAGTTCTCTTTTCCTGGTCTTTCTTTTGTCAGAAACCCCATCATTCTCTCTAACGCCCAGGACCCACATTCTCCGGGCCTTGAAAAAGGCCTGGGTATTTTCGTACCAGGTATGTGATGAAGAGTAGTGGAAGAAACATTCCATTGACTTCGGAGTCAGACTGACTTGGATTTAAATTCTACTCCTGCTGCTTACAAGTCTGTGAGCTTGGATGAATCAATTAACCTCATTGAACCTCAGTTTCAGCTTCTATAAAAGCTAACAGTAGACATTATGTATTGAGTGTTTACTATGTGCATAATACTCTTCTTACTGCTTTACATATATTAACTCATTTAATCCTCACTGCTACCTTATAGGTACCATTATTCTCTTTTTACTGGACAAAGAAATTGGCCCAGAGAGATTAAGCCATTTACTCCAGGTAACACAGCTAAGTGACATTCAAACTCAGGTAGTATGTTTCCAACCATGCCTCTATTTGCGCCTCTATTAAGGGAAGTATTTGCTCCGAAGGGTATAATAAAAGTTGAATGAGAATTTGTGTGCAGTATCTACAGCAGATCCTAACCAATTCATGCACTTGACTTTTCTTTAAAAAATATTGTTAAAAATATTTTTCTTTCTTTCTTAATTTTATCATCCTTGTCCCTCCTTTTTTTTTTTTTTTTTTTGGAGAGATGGTTTCCAAATGCTAATAGTCTATATATCTTTCTTCAATGGCCAGGTCACGATGACACAATTGTTTAGTGATATGGTTTGACTCTGTGTCCTCACCCAAATCTCATCTTGAATTATACTTCCATAATTCCCACGTATTGTGAGAGGGACCCAGTGGGAGAGAATTGAATCATGGGGGTGGTTTCCCCCATACTGTTCTTTTGATAGTGAATAAGTCTCACGAGATCTGATGGTTTTATAAGGGGTTTTCGCTTTCGCTTCTTTCTTATTTCTCTCTTGCCACTGCCATGTAAGAAGTGTCTTTTGCCTTCTACCATGATTGTGAGGCCTTCCCAGACATGAGGAACTGTGAGTGCATTAAACCTATTTTTCTTCCCAGTCTCTGGTATGTCAGCAGCGTGAACACTGACTAATACATATACTATGCATTTACTGTGTTTCAGGTACTGTGCTAAATATTTTAAGTGAATGATTTTTACAAATCATCATGATAGCCTTGTGAGTATAACCTATAGTACCCTCATCCCATGGAAGTCATGATTCTGCTTTGTGTGGTTAGGTAACCCTGCCAAGGTCAAGCAGGTGAGTGACAAAGCCAAGATTCAAACCGAGGTTGCTTCATTTCTGAGCCTGAACTCTTAATCACTTTTGCTAAAGATACCATTCTTTGTGGCGTTAATGCCTTTCCCTGGGTGAGGGGTGAAGTTGGACAGAAATAGATAAGATCCTCTTTGAGAGATTACCAAATGGTCATCCAAAGAGGGGCATTGGTAAAGACTGCTGTGGCGTCTGGGGGGAGAGGGTGTCATTGCAGGGGCTGGAGTCACTGAGACATCGGCTGGAGCAAAGCACTGACCTGTGGGCTGTGCATTCTCAGGGTCTTGACATTGTGGGTCCCCTAGCCTTGTGCTTGAATATACCCTCAGAGCTACCCTGATGGATATTGGGAAGAGAAGACTTTCAGATATTTTCTTAACACGGGGGACCAAAATGTAGGGATTGGGGTATAGGTGGTGGGATTAGGAAACAGAGGTGGAGTAGGGTTTGGGATGCAAGTTTTTTTTTGTTTTTTTAGTCACTATAATATGGGGGAAAGAATTAAATTTATAAAGCCCCTACTATGTTCTAGATGCTTTCTATACACATTATCTTTTTTGAGCTTTATTATAATTTCTTGAGGTAGGTAGTACAAGGACTAGCTCATTTTGTAGATGGGAAAATTGAGGCCCAGAAAGCATAGGTTATTTGTTTAGGACCTTGAAGAAATAAAATGGCTGGGCTTAAGTTTGAAATCAGATCCTTGTGACCCCAGATTCCCTTGGGGCCCAGGAATAAAACGATACCAGTATGATTGACCACTAACAAACCTATACCAACGATATATTGATATGTTGCTGTTTAGATGAGAAAAAAACTTAGTGACCAGTGCAATCAAAACCACACAGTAAAGGGTCAAGACTGGTCCTCTTGTGGATAAGAAATGTAATTATTGATATGTCTATACTGTTTGTTAAAGTTGAGTATATTTGTGTTTTTGTTCCAGAAAATACTAGGGTTTTTTTTTTTTTTTTTTTTTTTTAATTGATAGAGCAGAGAAGGTTCTGAATAAATGCTGCAACTGTTTTTGGGGAGTGAAGCACAGGTAGTGCAATGTAGTGACTTGGTTGTGGTTGTTCCCAGTGGAGGGTGTCCAGGTTCTTGGCATCTTGAACAAAGAATTGCGCAAAACACACAAACAAAGCAAGGAAAGAACAAAGCAACAAAAGCAGAGATTTATTGAAAATGAAAGTATGCTCCACAGAGAAGCCAAGCATAGGGGCTCAAGAGCCCCATGACAGGATTTTCTGGGGTTTAAATATGCTCTAGAGCTTTCCATGGGTCACTTGGTGTACACCCTATACAAAGGAAGAGGATAAAGTTACAAAGAAGTTACAAAGTCAGTGTATGGCCTGTGTAAATGGAAAGGATATTTCCTGCCATAGCTGAAGTGTTTCCATTTGATTTAATTCTTCGAAGTCAGCAGGAATCGGCCTTATGTTCCCTGTCTCCAGACCCTATTCTCCTGCCTCATAGTGAGTGACCTCACAGAAAGGCATTTTTTTTTAAATTGGAAGTTTCTTTCAATTCAAATGCTGCCTGCTTTCAGACAGCTCCTCCTGGAACTATGCCTCAAGATCTCTCCTGATACTTGGATACTTTTCCTCTCGCTGGTGAGACCTCCATCTCTGATCCCATCTGCAGTCATTTGGGTGCAGATCAGCCCACAGGATTAGAAAAGTCTGTGGCCAGACCAGTGAGATCTGGTCAGTGACTTCTGTGACCCACCATCCCCTTGAGACAGACAGACCCTGGGCCTCTTTACCCTCCCCTTTCCTTTCCTGGAGAAGCCAGCTCTTTCAGGTTGGGCTGCTTCCTAGAATTTCTTGGTTTACTTCCTTCTAAGTGAGGCGGGAGGTGGAAAAGTGGGTAACTTCCAAGTTCTCCTGGGGAGAGCAAACTCAGGGCCATATCATCCTTTCACCACAGACAACCACTCACGGAATTTTCCCCGATGTCTGTGTGGTTTTCAAGTTTCCCAACCTGTTCACCCTGAGCACTTGGAGTTGGCTTTGAGCTCAGAGAAAATACTCACTATTGCCAGGCCACCAGTTTAGCCTTGGGGAGTGATGACTAAATAAACAAGGGGACCCCTCCCCCAACCTTGTCAGTTTATTTTCACAGATAGGAGTTTCCACTCATGCTGCCCAGGAAGCCCACAGAAAGGACTGTGGGCTGTGGCTGCTGTGGCAGTGCATGGCAGCTGGGGACTCTCCCCTGACCCATTTAAGTCACACTATGATTGATGACCAGAATAGAAGAAAAACAACTGCAGATGGATAGTCAGTGGGGCAAGCGAAAACCAACACAGCCTGTTTCTGGTGTCTGTCCTTACCTGATGCTGAGGAGGCGCTTGAAGTAGTACAGTGATTAAAAGCATGGGTTATGGAGTCAGAAAAATGTGGGTTCAAACCTCAAGAGCAGCACTTAATGATTGGGAGACTTTGAGTAGACTTGTATCATTCCTTGAGCCTTAGAACCTTGAGGGTGGTCGGGATAATAATACCTTCCTCTTAGTGTTGTTCTGAGGATTAAATGAGATACTACAGTGTGAGGTACTTACAGCAGAGCCTGGCACATAACTGGTGCTTCATGAATTGCAGCTCCATCACAGCTATTTGTTGGCTGTGATGATTTTGTGATTATGTGAAATACTCAGCACAGTATCTGGCACAGAGGAAAGAATAAATGGTAGCTGTTTCTTAGGATTATGGAATGCCAGGGTTGGAAGGAATCTTGTTTGGAGCCAAATTACTTTTATCTTCTCCTTTTACAGATGAGGATACTGAGTATCAGAGAGGGCCACAACAGGTCCAGGATTACACTCCTAGCTCTTAGCAGAGAGAGGGCTCACTATGTCGTGCTTCCTGCCATCTCTCCCTTTGAAGAGCAGTCAGACTCCTGCTTTGTTCTTCAAGGTTGGTGGGTCTTACAGGTGGGGTTTCTGGGGGAACTATTTTGCAACATAACAGACATGTGTTACATCAGTCAGGAGTCATTCTTGCTGAAGGAATCCGGGCTGCCAGTTTCTTTTGGTTTGGGAGTCGGTAGCATGATGGAAAAACAAAAAAAGCACAACTTGACATCTGCAGAAATGGGTTCAAATTTTACCTGCAACTTATCAATTCTGTGGCCTTGACTCAGCAATTAAACTCCCTAAAACTCAATTTTTCCTTTTGTAAAATGGGGTTATGAGCAGTACCTACGTCAAAATGTGTTTGTGTGAAGATTAAATAAGTTAACATAAGGAGTTTAGAAGAGCATCTGGCATATTGTGCTCAATAAGCATTTATTTATTGCTAAATAAACTGGTAATTTGATTAGCATCAGCAATGAGCTATTACTAATTAGATTAGTATAATACAGTAATAAACTATTTTTTTCTTTTTTTTAATTTATTTTTTACTTCCCCTCCCCCACCACCAGTAATGAAATATTACTAAAGATCAGGTTACAAAGATTTAGGGCTTAGGAACTCATTCCCTGCCCCCAGGCAATTTGGTGCCTCAGGGACAGGGTTGGTGGCCTTGGTCACAAGACAAGGGGGAGGCAGAGCTGCCGGCAGATAGAGGGTTAACATGGGAGTTACCAGAATCCAAGGGAGAGCAGGGGATTGGTTTGGAATCCTGGTCTGGATTTAGAGTACAGATCTGGAAGTCTGGACTTTCTCTGTGGCTGGTGGCCTTGAAAGACACATGTTCCATCATTCTTGTTATTTATTTTTTTGTCACTGGAGCAAAGCAGAGGCTTTTCTTGGTTCAATCAGGAGTCATGTGCAAGGACAAGCAGAGAAGCTGAGCAGCTGTCGGGAGAATTCAGGCTGGAGTGGGCTCAGTGCCCAGGCCTTGCAGCCTGAGCTAGGGAGGAACACATCGAAATGTGACATCTGCTGCCCAAGCTCCCCCGACACCCACCCCTTCCTTGTCCTGCTGCTCAGGAGAAGGGAGGAAGCTAGCCTTTCCCACTACCATTGTATACCTGACAGGTTCATTAATCTTAGCTTATCTTATCCTTATGACCTCTCAAGCTGGTTATCATTTCTTTTTTATGGAAAAGGAAAAGGAAGAGGAAGAGGAGATTCAGAAGTGCCCCAGGGCACACATGGGGGCAGAGCCAGCATGCAAACGCAGAGTCTTGGACTGTAAAACTCATGTCCCTTTCATGCACTCGATAGTTCTTGTGGGCCCAGTCAAGATATCACTGGTAGCATCTGATTTATCATGAATCTGTGCAGTGCATGGCCAGAGGAGAAAAAAATAAACCCAGAGCCAGGCGGCTCCTGGCATTAACAACCTGAAGAAAAGAGAAGCCCAAGCCCAAGACTCCTAGTTTAAGTATCTGTCCCTCCTTCCCCCACCACCTCCCCGACTTCATCTTCCTGCCCCTAGTGCCCCGATCCACCTTTGGCCTGGAGAGGGCAGCCTGTCCCGGTGCCAGCCCAGCATGCTCAGGCCTAACAACAATAGCTGGAAGGGCCTCTTGGAGCAAGTACTTCCTGAAGTGCCCAGAACAGCCACTGTCCTTGTGACTCAGGAACAATCACAGCTCATGCCAGCTTCCGTGCTCCGTTTCAGAGCCTCCAGCCCTCTCAGTGGAGCCCCTGAGCCTGCTGGTGCAGGGTCCAAGCTTTAGGAGAGACAGGTAGACAAGGAGTCCAGGATCCCAGCGCTCAGACTGCTCAAATGCCTGAGGTTTAGGAGGGCCTCAGGGTTCTCTGCGTGGGCGTGTGTGCGTGTGTGCGTGTGTGTGTGTGTGTGTGTGTGTGTATGTTGTGTGTTTTCTCAAAGTCAAGTTGGAAGGAAAATCTGTATCATCATTTTCCTTTACCCTTCCTGTAACCCAGTGGTCTCATTCTTCATCTTTGTTCTTCTGTCATCATTCTTTGGGCTTTGCAAACAAAGAAGGAGAAAAAAACCACAAGTAAAAATATAATTCTGGAATAACACTATACACTTGATTCTTTATTCAGCAACATTGAATGAGGCCTGCTCTGTGCTAAGCACTTTGGGGTACAAAAAAACTATTCAATATTTATCCACTTGTTTAAAAATATGTATGGTCATTTCACAGTAATGATAGAGCCCCTGCCAAGCTACAGGCGTTGTTGCTACAGAAATGCCTGGGCAGCTTGGACTCTGTCCTGTGCAACTTCAAGTCAAGGGTGGGAGGTGGATAAGAGAACTTATAGTTGAAATACCCAGTTTATATGCTGAGTGCTGGGAAGGGGAAGCACAGGGTGATGGAGGGGCACACATAGGAGGGGCAGCCAACCATGACCAAGAGTCCTGGAGGATGGGCAGGAGGCAACCCAAGGGAAGATGAGGTTAGGTGGATTAGGGGAATCCATAGGAAGAGACACTGGTGTTTGTGAAGGCTAGAGGAGAAAATCAATGCATATTTTGCAATAAACATAAAGGAGGTTCATGTGACTGGATTGCGAGAGGAACAATACTCTCTAGTTGTTAGGAGTCCAAGCTCTGGATCTAGTCTGCCTGGGTTAGAATCTTCGTTGGCCACTTATTACTGTAGGTCCTTGGTGAAGCCATCGATGCTTCTGTAGGTTAGTTCTCTTGTCTGAAAAATGGAGAAGATGAAAATAATAGTACCTGTCTCATAGGTTGTGGCGAAGATGAAAATGAGCAAATATGCATGAAGTGCTAGATCCATAGCTGGCATGCAGTAAGGGCTTTAGAAGTGTCACCTATGATTAGCTGAGGAGTAGGGGACAGGAGGCTTGGACAAGCAAGGAAGTTAATTCCATACTCCTGTAATGTCTGTGGGCCAGGCATTAGTGAACCAAGCAGAATCAGAAAGACCCAGCTTCTGACTGCAGGGAACTTGCAGTATTGACTTGTTAAAAACTTGGATGAGGGGTGGTGGGGGGGTAAGGGGCGGGAATAAAATAAAATAAAAAAAATTTGGACCTTGGAATCAGAGAGACCTGCCTTCTAACCTGTCTTATCTGTGTAGTCATAGGCAGATTATTTGCCCTCTTTGAGCCTTCTTTTCATCTGTAAAATGGGCATAATGATAATATATTCTTTATAAAATTGGGGCAAGGATTCTGTGAGACTGTGTGCGTGCGTGTGTGTGTGTGTGTGTGTGTATAGTCTCTATGTATATAAAACACATATAATGTGAAATATATATATATATATATATAAACATAGTGCTAGCAAAATAGTAGCTATCGTGACAGTCAAGGTAAGAGATGACAGAGAAATAACCATAACAGGGAGAATATTTTATAATAACCAGGATAGGCTGGGCGCGGTGGCTCACGCCTGTAATCTCAGCACTTTGGGAGGCCAAGGCGGGCAGATCACCAGGTCAAGAGATCGAGACCATCCTGGCCAACATGGTGAAACCCCGTTTCTACTAAAAATACAAAAATTAGCTGGGCGTGGTGGCACGCATCTGTAGTCCCAGCTACTCAGGAGGCTGGGGCAGGAGAATTGCTTGAACCCAGGAGGTAGAGGTTGCAGTGAGCCCAGATCACACCACTGCACTCCAGCCTGGCACCTGGCGATGGAGCAAAACTCTGTCTCAAAAAAAAAAGAAAACCAAACCAGGATGGTTTTTAGAATTGGTGGCTACAGACTCTCAGTGGTTTCCCATAGCTTTAAAATAAAGATGTGCTTAGCTCACTGGCTTCATCTATCTTCATTTTCTCTGCTCTTTCTACTTCCTCTACCTTCAACTGCCTAGGCATTTCCACTCCCCAAACCTACAGAGCTCAGGTGAAACATCACTCACTAGCAGAAGCTTTTCTTGACCCCCGATGAGGTCGAGTTTACGACCCTGGCTACACACTCTCACAGTACCCTTTATTTTGATTATTGTCTGTTGTCCATCTAGACTATAAGCCCCATGAAGTCAAGGGTCATATCTTTTTTACTTCTTATCGTATCTCCATCAATTATTATGGTCCCCATATTAAGAAACCAATAAATATTTACTAAATATGTAAACACAAATGCAGCCAAGATTGAAATTTTATAAAGGGAGAAGCTGGAACCTGCTTCTAAGGCTCAGGTAACACTCAGAGAACACAACTTTCCAGGGCCCTCCTCAGACTCTGAGACCCCGTTTCTTTGCCTGAACAGCAGTGTAACTGATATGTCACACTGTAATTAACTAGAGGGCTGATTAAGAGCTTATGTAAATGTTGAGACTTTTGGCAGCATTCATTTCCCTCTGATTTTGGCATGACTCAAAGCATGGGAATTTTTCAAAAGAGAGAGCTTTCAGAAAATACCCACACCCAACGGTGGAAACCTTAGAAGAACAGAGTGCAGAGGAACGTTCCTCAGCGAGGGATTAAGGGACTCTCAGCAGGTTTTCAAAGGCATATGGAGACAAGATGTCAGTGTGAGCTTGTTTCTCTGATAGAATCTGAAATGCTTTTAACCAGCAAGTTACCAAGAGGCTTTTAACTGAAGAGGCTAATGTTGTAGATTTATACATAAATGGATGTTTGTGGTGACTTCTTTGTGGTTCATGTGACAGGAGAGAACTTCAGGGAGGGGAGATTATGTCTTGCATCAACAGCTAAATTGCTTTTTCTGCCTTTTGGTTAAGTGAGCAGGAGGACAGAGAGCCCTGAATAAGGAATTGGGAGACCCGCCCCACCTTTTCTTTTTAATCTATCCTGGCCTTCCCTGTGAAAGCAGTGTGACCATGGACAAGATATTAACCATTCTCTGCCTCAGTTCTCTCGTCTGCCAATGAGATTGAAAACACCTTGTCAAATTTTTATAAAATTAACTTGTAATGCTGGTAGCTAGAACTTGTTGAGCACTTAATATGTGTCAGCTCCATATGATCTCTGTCGATCTTCATAACCACCCATGAGATAGATTACAACTATTGCTCCTACTTTGCAGAAGAGAAAATTGGGGCACAGACACTCTAACACCTTGTCCTAGGTCACAC